GTTGTTTGTTATCATTGTGTTTGCTCTTGTTGTCAATTTGTTGTGGTTGTCGTTGTTGCTGTTGTTGTCGTTGATGATTTGGGTGGTGGCCGTGGTGCTACGGCTGCTATTTTTTTTGCTGCTGCAGATGATGTTGTTGATGATAAAAAATGTTGACGTCGCCGTTGCTATTGCTTTCGCTTTGCGAAAGGTCACAGTAGTGGTGGTGGTGGTGGTGGTGGTGGTCGGATCTATTGTGTGGCGGGATGGTGACGGGGGCGCTAACGCTGTTGGAGGCGGCATTGGCTATTTTTCTTATAGTGCGCCTTCAAACCAATGATTTACAGATGAACCCACGCACGAATTTCGGATTATGATTACCCTTGGCGAGGACGCTACCGCAGGCCAACCTCTCCGATTTCGCTAACGACCTCCAAGCAGGCAAGGGAACGACTGCGGCCCCCAGTACCAGGCCGCTATCTTCCCGCACGACGAGTCCCAGAAACGTTCCGCGGACCGGGCCATCGCATGGGCGCAAGACGTGCTCGACAAGGCTGGTGGTGACCGCGACGGTAGCGGTGATGTTGGCCGTCGACGGCGGGATGGCGGTGGTGGTGGCGGTGCCGACGCCACGACATGGTGGGAGGTGGGCCAGGAGGTCAGGACCCTTGTGCTGCCGACTGAAGAGGACGGTTTCACCCCGGAAGCGACGCCGAGCGAGTAGATAGCGCTTGCAGCGGTTGATAACCCCTTGCGGTAGTTGATATCTCGTGTGATGTGGTTGATCGCCCCAGAGAGAGAAATATGAGTATACATAGAGAAAGGGAGAGAGAGGGGGGAGTTGCTTTCAATGCCAGATTGTTTTGGGATGAAAGTACCAAATGCAACGAAAGTCGCCAAGGCGGGGTTGTTGCTGCTGTGAAATGTTGTCGTTGTCTTCGCAATAAGAACAGTTCTGATCGCTGCCCAGTACCTTCTAACGCATGCGCTGATCCAATTGGCTCGGGCGGGGGAGACTACAGAAATATGTAGCGGAACAGGAGTAGCCGCCCCTCGTCCAGCGAAAGATAAGGGGACTGGACGCATGCGCTACCGCAACCAGCAATCAACCAGGACATTCATGATGTAATGCCACAGGGCCAACATCGTCGGTTTGCTATTAGCACCGGCGCGCCGGGCGTTCCCCGAGCCCTACGGTCCCCCATACACTTCTGTCGGCTCTGACCCTTCCCTCCACAACACACAGAGCTCTTCTTCTCATCTACCTTGTTGGAATACACCTGTCACTGCTCTGTCCATCTGTACCATGACCTCCTTCCCCCCGACTTTCGCTCGACCCACCACCACGTAGTACAGCAAAATCTCTATCCTCGTTACCGACACCATGATGCCCTGCATGCCGTGGCGCGTCGCGTAGACCCAACCCCCCCCTCTCGCCGCTGCCTCCTCCACAAGACAGCTCGTCGGGCTCGTCGAAGCCATCCCAACCCCCTCCCGCGCCGGCGCCGGCGATGATTCCGGTGGGCAGGGTCCGCAGGTCCCACTTGTGTCCCGGCGGTTTCTCCGGAGACAGGTCGCGGGTGTTGCCGAACCGAACGTCCAGGAGGCACGAGAGTAGGCTGTCCGACGAGAAGGGCTTCTTGAGATGTCTGACGGACTGCGACTTCGGTTTCGACCTCGTCAGCGTCACCGACGACGGCTGCTCTATTCGCCGCGCGGAAGGCCTGCTAGTTTTTCTTGTCGCTGGTGGTGCGGTTGCCGCTTCTGGCGTTGTTCTCCAAGGTGAACTCGAACGCGGAAGCTCGAGGCGGTCACCGTCACGGCCGTCGTCGATAAGCCCTTCTTCTTCCGGCCGTACTCGTCTCTCGAGGCTTGCTTCGGTGGGCCGGCTTCGTCTCTTCCCCCTAGCGCGTCGATTAGCTCTCCACGCTGATTCGTCAGCGACCCCGAACGCCACTGTCCCGCCGAGGTTTCTCGCGGCGGTATCGTCGATCCGGCCGCCGGTGCCTCTGCTCTCCCCGACGTGCTCAATGCTTCGGCTGCTCTGGAGCGTTCCGCTGTTCACGCCGCCGGCGCGTCTCCATTCGGCCTCGGCATCCGACGTCGGCATGCCCTGCGGTCGATCGTCAGCGATACTATCTTCGGCCCCACCTACTGTTCTGCCCCGGGTCCCACCCTCACTCCTCGTATTGGATCCCTCCCCCGTCATCGAGGCCCCGATCGCTCCCGTCTGTACCACCGGTGACAATCGGGTAGCCCCGGTACTGCTACAGACAGTGCCGCCGACCACGGCCGCCGCAGCAAGCTTAACGCTGCTCAATTCCCTATGCAGGACAACCTGCCGGCTTTCCACCGGAATCGCGCTGAAATCACGGCCCCCTCCCCCGCCGCTTCTTCCTCTCCCGTACCCGGCTAGAGCCCGTCTGGTCGACAGCGGAGACGACGGCGGGCTGAACCTGCTCCCAAAAATCCCCGGAGAGCTACTCTGCCGGAAGAACCCCGCCCCTTCTCCTCCCACAAGCGCCGGTGCTCCGGCCAGCTCGAGGCTTGACATGTGTGCGTGGAGCAAGGAACCCCCGCAGGGGTCTACCCTGTGCTTGCGGACAGCGCGGGCGTAGTCCCTCGCCTTCATGTCGCGGGCGTCGCCTAGGGCTTGCGGGGGAAGGTTCCGTATCGTGTCATGGATGCCCGCGCGGAAGTTCTCCGTCATGGCGCCGTTCGGGGTGAAGCCGTTGCCGGCTCCTGCCGAGAATCTCGTGCGGATTCCGGTGTGCCCGAGATCGGGGATCGGGACCGGCTCGATGGATGCCTTGCGCCAGCTCGCGTCGTCGCCTGGTTTTGACGAAATGTCAGAAAGTTGTTGTACGGTACGGGCAGCAGGAAGGCGCGCAAGGGGTGATCCGAAAGTAGTAAGACATGTGTTCTTGATTTCGCTCGTTCCGGCCTACACTTGTGATGCCTATCTTCCAGAATGTCCAGGAGCTTTCTATTGTCCCATCTTGTCAAGTGTTGGCATCAATAGTACTGGTCTTTTTTATTTGGCATCATTACGTAGTGCTGCTCCAATACCGCGGCCGGTGAAGACCAAATGGGACCAAAGATACTCTTGTGTCGGCGAAAGCGTTCCCGGTGGGCTTCCTATCTGGGTCATATCAATAGTGCACACGATTCACCGACTACTCGGAGTAGTGTCTATGCAATATTGCAGGTACACGGTTGGATATAGCTAACCTAACCAACGTTTCAGAAGGGCAGGAGAGGACAGGAAGCCGAGGTTTCCTTCCACCAACGAGTAGCCTAGGTCAAGCATTGTGTGGACCGGATCCTTGCAGAACAACTCAACGTATAAAGGCAATAACATGACTTCTGCCGGTTGAACGTCGATCTCCTCGTTTTCGCGCACGAAAGGTTACAGTAGGCACAAACGCCGACTCCTCAATGCTAGTGACGAGGCGAAACCAGGCCCAACATGATACATACCTCGGTGGGAGGCAGGAAGAGGCAATAGTGGGCATATTGACCGACCAGAAACGCTCCAACAGAAAGTCAACCGAAATGGTCGTGGCCATCCCTTTGCCCACCTTCTAATGGCCTGTGCATTCCGCTGGCAAAGCGGTCGAGGTATGGGTGAGGACCGGCTGGCGCGGCGCGAGTCCGCACGATCTTTCTACGGTGCGGGGGAATGTCTCTGTCTCCGTTCCCTTTACCCCCTCCGCCGACGCCACCTTCCCCGCCCAAGGTGTCGTGGTCTTTCAAACCTTCGTGCCACCCGGACACCACCTCCGACAACGGAGGCATGGTCGCTTGGCAGCTCCATTCTTGGTGTGGTGGTGGTGATGATGTTGTGCTTTCCGTCAGAGGAGGCGTGGCGATGGCCGTCATTCTGGTTTGTGGGCACGTCCATCGCACCACGTCGACGGAGGGGGGGGGACGGGAAGGGCCACGCGTTTTCATTCTCTAGTGCATGGTATATCGGAGTAAGTGCAGATGTATGTATCGTATACGCACAATGGACGCCGCAGCAGATTCATAAGAGAAAGAAGAGGCAACCCCCTAGGGACAGGCCAACAAAACTAGGCAAGACAATGGGAAGAGCGGAGTACGTAGGACGAACTTCACCTACAATCGGTGATTCTAAAGAGTCTGTGTAATCGCCTGAATGTACCAACGTGCCCTCACGGAAATACCCGTGGTTCACCCAGTGCCCAAACCCGAACGTTGGTGGCTTAGAGTGGATTCAGGCGTTGCCATCCAACCTTGCACACACCATGAACAACGACCATTTTCGTGCATTCGATTACACGGTGCCGACGGTCCCTGCATGTGAACAACTGTCTGCCGCCCGCATGCTTGGCAGACCACCACGAACGGAAAGATTGGTGAGTGGTCATCATCATGAGAGAAGATCAAACTCTTCGTGATGCGATCCTCCTGCAGCAGCCTTCGTCTTTCTTTACCTTATGTATCTCCGTACGCCCCAAAGGCCAGGAACTTCTCAGGGATAGATGGCAGGAGATGCTTGCCACTTTTGTAACGTGTTCGGATGCTGTGTGCTGTCCCGTTTGTGCCTCAGCGATGGCCGTCCTCCGTAATCCAAGCAGAGCTGCAAGTGTCACGATGGTCGATCTACTGTACGTAGCAGCGGATGATGTCATGAGGCATACACAAGCTGCGCCATATGCTTAGATGCAGCTGCAGGGTGGCACTTTCCCCTTCATGAACCCCATCGCAACTCGGTGTCGCGATCGACGCAGCAGGCGGCGGAAAGAGAGAGAGAGAGAGAGAGAGAGAGAGAGAGAGAGAGAGAGAGAGAGAGAGAGAGAGAGAGAGAGAGAAGGCATTGCCCACGGGAAGTCGGGGTGGCATTTGGCCGTTACACGATTTGCCGAAGCGAGAACGCCTCCAAAAAAGTAATAAACCTTCTTTGACCTCACCGCCAGCAACTCTGCCAGCCAGCGTGCAGAGGGCATCCAACGGCGTCCAGACAACCCAAAAGACCATAGGGAGGACTGCGGGCGGGCGGATGCTATGGCAGCAGAACAGCAAGACAAGGCTGCACAGGAGAAGGCGGCTGGAAATGCGGCTTTCAAGGTGAACCAACCTGCCTCGCCTGCCGATGCATTTTTTTTATTTTATAACGTGCATAATCCGTGGAACGTGGTGTAACATCTTCTTCACATGCCTTCTCTGCCATGATGCCATGTGGCGTGTTTTCAAATCCCACATACTCGCACCGGAAACCCGCCGCCAGACTTAACCCATCTCTCGAGATATACCGGGCCGGAAGCGCAACCTCCTCTTCTCTGAGAGCGGGGGGGGGGGGGGGCTTGGCTTGTAGCACCCATCCGGAAATTGCCCGTGTCTCATCCGTCATGGCGGTTTCGTGTCGGTGGTGTGGCAAAGCTGGAGCTACACGATCACAACCAGGGCAGCGCCGAACAGCTCTTTTTAGCCAGCAACGGCAGTAATAGTGCGCCCGGTAGTTTGTTCAGCCTGTCGTAGCTGTTGAGTGGTGCAGGTCGTCATTGGTCCGAAGTCCTCGTCGGGACGTGATATGCACCAGTTTATAGCATACGGTGGTTAGTCGCCGGCCCCATCGGCCTTTGGATCACCCTCACACCCACCTGTGTTTGCTGACGATGGTGCGAGGGAGGAGAACGTGAGTTCAGCGCAGGCACAAGCTGACCGCCAGTCGGTTGGCGGAGGGTCTTTGCGTCCTCCGGTGCTGACCGTATCATTTCGGTTTGTATCCATACCGCCGGAGGTTGCATAAGATACCACCCCCCCCCCCCCTGAACCGATTTTCAAAATGCCAGATCTGCTGCGTTGGAACGGTGGCCGATAAATATGTCGGCGTCGGGACTAAATAGCGTCTCCATGCGAAGTATTTCCGAAAACGACCATGCCATTTGCATTCTCTTCGTGGGGGGGTAGTCGGTCGTTCTTTGGAGATC